AATCTTGGTTACTATAATGGTAGGTGAGTAAGGGCCTGGTTATCAAGCACTTAGTTTATGGTAAAATTTAACATTATTATTTTTTTAATGGATAAGATTTTAGTCTACCAAAATGATATTGTATGAAACAATTTACCTGGCAAGCGCTTACTATGGTAAAAGTCGTCGTCCTCACTTACTGTATAAGACTTGGTCCTTGTCTCATTCTTACCGGGTAATTACTTGGTTCTTGTCATATTCATCCATGTGACTTGATAAGAGCTTACGCAGATAAACATTTAGTAAACGGCCATTAAATGATAAATTTGAAGCTCGAATAGGGTATATCTGTTCCACATGAATTTCCAGCAACAAATATATGTATATATATATATATATATATAGTTTGTTTCAAATACAACCTATCGCATTTGTACAACCAATACAACCCAATAAATTGAGATATTTATAAAAATAATGAGAGTTTATTTATTATGATTTGAATAATTATGGAAAATAAATATTGTTTATTAATTATGATCAATACTTTATATTTAGAAACAATCAAAACTGTTATGAAATCACATATTAATCAAATAAAATGGACTATTGAGATTTGATTGTATTGGTTACACAAATGTAAATGGTTGTATAATAACCAACCCTTCTTTCTCTATATATATATAGAAAGACTTGGAATCATGTGAGATCAAAAGTTTTTTGTGAGACCCGTAAGACCAATTCTCAACTCTTGGATTAAATTTACAATCGTCAAATCTGAATATTCATAAATGCCACAAGATTTCTTAATAATTACAAAATTATCATACAATTTTAAACCGTTAGATCATTAGCTTATAAAGTTGATCAATGAACCATAAATTGATTTTACGACTCACGAAAAACCCTTGGTCTCACGTGAACCCAACCCTATATATATATGGTATATTTCAAATACAACCATGTTCGTTTGTACAACCAATATAACCCAATTAATTAAGATATTTATAAAAATAATAAAAATTTATTTATTATGATTTAAATATTTATAAAAAATGAATAATATCCAATAATTATGATAAATACTTTATATTATGAAACAATTAAAACTTATATGAAATCACATATTAATCAAATTAAATGGAAGATTGAAATTGAGTTATATTGATTGTACGAATGTAAAGCGTTTATATATATTTCAAATAGAACGGAGCATATTTTGCGGAGGAATCTAAGGCAAATGCCGGTTAAATGGATCATAAAACCCAAATGTTTCTTACAAATACACGATCAAGCAGACACAACTTTTCTCATGGTTTCATCATTTTTTAGGTTTAAAATTTGCATTCGTAGTTGGTAATTTTACATTCAAGATCACTGCACCTACACCTTTTAATACCATCCAACTTCTGTTTAATCAGACCTTGGCTTAATCGTTTAATATGATATGGGAGAGTTACCCTCAAATTGTTTAATCCATAATTGTTCTTAGTTCATAAATGTATTTTATTTATCTTCATAGGGTAGAGGATTGGGAAAAGATGGTAGGATTGAACCAAGAAAATACCAACGCAATCGGGTTTTGGATGATCGATCGATTGATTGGCTTGCCAACCCCTTTTTGGAAATCAAGATACGAAAGAAATCCAATCCCCGATCTCAAGTTAGGTTCCTTATAACTTATTGAATGTGAACTCTGCCAAAAGCAATTGAGTTCAGTCGTAGCACCACTCAGGAATAGAAAGCTAGTCAACAAATGGTGGAAGATTCATGTTTACATATGCAACTTAAGTTTATATCATCAAAACTTGGACACGCCAAATCATTACATTGGATGTCATCAAACACAATAGCACCAGATGACACCAACCATTACTTCGCAGACAAACCCATCACCACACTGCACTACGCTTATTACGTACGATACGAAGCACAAGACGCATGTAAGAGATAGATATTCTAACCAGAAATTTGAACCGATTTCACCTCAGGTTTCTTCACTTCCTCTTTTGGTACAGTAATCGTAAGCACTCCATTCTCCATTGAAGCCTTCACCTGCTCCAATTTCGCGTTCTCTGGCAGCCTGAACC